CAGCTAGCCATCTTTAACTCACAAAACAGTGAGTAAAACTAAATGCTCTATACCTTTGCTAAATGCTCTACATTATAGTTCAAACATCCCATAAAATAAAGGCAGAATCACTCAAGTTCAGTAGAAGAAGAGAATTCTTGTTTTGCTGAAAACATGAGTAATCATGTAACCATCTAGCATCCAAGTTCACTGCATAAACTTTCTCTTGTTACGTTCAGCCATATTGCAAGCAATTATATCACTCTGCTGAGGTAATGCCTGTGCATCTCTTTCTTTCTTGCTTAGGAACTCCCACTAGTTACCTGAAGTCAACACTGTGGTTTAGCTGGTCTGACTATAATTTTGGGCAGCAGCCAAGTAAGAGTAAGAGTACAAAGCAACAAATGCTACATTTACCATTATGACTGAAACTGACCATCAAGAGAAGCATACAAAGACTTTGGAATATCTGTAACTTAATAATGCAGGAAATTAAATGCACACTGGTTATACGTATTTGGTTTTTGTCATAGTCATACGGTGTTACATAGCCACTGGTGGCAATGTAAAGTGACACGGATGGGCAGATAGCAGTGATTTAAAACCAAAGATCAGGAACAAAACTGGCCAAATCTGACCTGATGATTATAAATGAACCGTTCAAAATCTGGTGACTCATACCTCCACGTCAGCCTTAACCGCATGCAACGATTGTGACACGAGCAACAGAGCAACAGCACTGCAACATGTATTTGCTTTATAATCAAGCTTTATTTTTAAAATTCTTGATATAATCAGTCTAAAATTCTGTTTGAGCATCCATCTAACAGATTCATCATGCAACCCATTCCATATTACAAACATATATATATATATATATATATATATATATATAAATATGTAAAAAATTGTTAAATATTAATAGTTATTATTAATGGCCAAATATCAAAAACATATTAATGTATGTTTTACCGTATGGGATGTGAAAATCATCATCATATACTGAAATTGTTAAATTTGGCTAATATTTATGGTTTTCCCAAATAAATGCATTCTAGGAATTTTGGCTTTAGCCAAATCATTTCTTTAGATAGACATTTTGTGCTTTGTCATTTACTAAGTTGAAGGACAATTTCTTTGAGACAGCTCTAACAGAAGCCAAAATCATCACTGAGAAGTCTAATTTTGTAAGTTGTCTGGATAGGTGTTCAACAAAAAGCCATTCTAGGCTCTAATGCTTGTTCCCCTTTCCAGCTCCAGTTGGTAATATACTGGAAAAAGTTCCTGGAAAGGTGACATGAAGCATTCAAAGAACTCCATAAGCTGATTACTAGACCTTTGTTGAGCACATGATCTGAGAATGTTCAAAGTAACAATGTATACGCCAAGGAAAGCTCATCAAGCTTGTATATGGCATCAAGGCTGAAGGATGCATGTAAGATCAGGAAAAATAAATTTGCCCATCCTTTCCTTTATAAACAACACCCCGCCATTAACTCCACCAAACTGTTTGGCAAAACTTGCTTTGTTAATGATGAACCTCCAAAGCTTCTACATTGGAATGTCTTTGGAGAAATCTGTACGAAAGGTTGTATTAAACTGTTTTCCAGCCTTGTGCCAGATTCAAATGATCATGTTACAATCAGGACCAAACAAAAATGCCAACCAATAAGTTAATACACCTCAGTTTGAAGCTTATTACTCTAAATTTACATTTAATAATTTGCTGACAGACAGTAAATACCCATAATTGTATATGGATTACATTGAGTCATAAAGTGGGCCAAAGAAAATATTCTTCATAAAAAGAAAAATTACGATTTCTGTCTCTTGTGTGTTTGGATGCTAAGTAATAGAAGTCTGGTTAGTTAAGTTTAAAATGTTACAAATGGTTTGGTTAACCTCTTTAAACAATAATATTGTGAAATATTATTACAATGTAAAGTAACTGTTTTCATTTTTAATATATTTTTTAAATATAATTATTCCTGTAATGGTAATGCTGAATTTTCAGCAGCCATTACGCCAGTCTTCAGATCACATGATCCTTCAGAAATCATTCTAATATGCTGATTTGCCGCTCAAGAAACATCCTATACTATCCTATCCATTGTGATTTTCACATTATTAGGCCCTAAAACATCTAAGCCTATAGAGCATATCTGTGATAATGAAATTACAAAAATAACCCCCGAGAATCTCTTACACTGGTTACGGTCATTGGTCATGCTCAGAACTTAGAGTCAAAATCAATTAGAAGATTTTCCAAACTTCAGTCTTTAATCCTCTAATTTAGGATTTCTACAGAGTCAGAGTTCAAACAGTGGTTCTGCAGACCATTGAATGACAAAGACTTTTGGAAAGCGGTGTTGAACACACCAGACCAGTAACTGTGTTTTGATGTAGTGTATCTGCATAAGGTCTGTTTATGTTTGTTAAATGCCAGAATGCTGTCTGCTACGCAGAGAGGATGAGACACACGTTACATTTCTTACATAGCTGGGTGTGGATGACTGACAACCAAGGGGGTGGTTGTATAAAGCCCAGACGGGAGCAGCGAGCTGCACGTCTTTCTCTCAGCTTCCAAGCAGAGGCAGGGAAAGGAATGTTCTGCCACTGCCATTTGGAAGTCAGAACTTTGCGGGTCATCTCAGGCAAAGGGTCTTAAAATTCACCCTCACTGTATGTGTACATAAGATTGTTTGATCATTTGAGATTGTCAGGGCGCACATGACAAGCTAGCTAGAATGGCTAAGATGATGCGTGAGGATAGCAAGAAAATACAGTCTCTTGTGTTTTCTTAATTTTATGGTAAATACTAACTTTAAAAAAATATATAAATGCAATATAAGGGATATTAAAGAAAAGCCCCTTTCAAGGAAAGTATGTTCACTCTGCCATATTTGCAATGCCTCTGGGCAAATATTTCGGACATCCAAGATAAAGTCCTATCTACCTGAATGGGGGAATCCTGAAATCTCAAAAACTGGTGAAACACATTAAACATTAAAACACATTTTAAACCAGGCTACAAAATTTGACATAAACCTCTCCTATATTGTTTCTTATGCTCAAATATATATATATATATATATATATAAAAGCTTATATTATAGGCTGGTCAGCATATGCAGTCCTAAGCACTTGTCTCAGGACACTGACTGTTTCTATGGCAACCGGAGTGCATTGCATTTTCTCCTATTTGGAGTAGCATGAGAGAACCTTCTTGTGGTTCTCAAAGTGTGGGGCGTGCCCGCCAGTGGGGGCGCACGAGTATTGCAGGGGGGGCGCGGGTCATCAGCAGAAAAAGAAAAGAAATAAAACAGTAAACAGCCAAAGGACGTAACTTAGAATGGGAGATGGATCGGTTTGTGAAAGGGAAGAGAAAAGCCATAGATGAAGTCGCACAGACCCAGGCAGGTGCTGGTCATTTAAAAGCTAAATGCAGAAAATATGACGAGGCATATCTTGCTCCCGGCTTCACTCACCGTGTCTATACCGGACGCTACAGGTGTCGCGTTGCGCCGCAAGTCTGAACTGGACGCGACAAAGCAAATCATTTTAACTTTGTGTCAGTATGTCATAAATAGAACAAGGCATCAGTTTAATGTCGTTAATGTTGTCGAGCTTTCACGAGACATCACGGAGATATTTCTCCGTTATGGGAACTCCTTCCCTTCCAACCTTTCCTGAAGTCCTATTGGCTCCCGCCAGTCCAAATGACTGGCCAATTGACGCGAAGTATGCAAATCGCATGCAAATACTGACGAGCTCGAGCAGTATAAAATGCGGTGCACGCGACAATTACGTCATCCTATGCCTTAGCGGACAGCAAGAAACCCACAAAAAATAAATAAATAACAGAGAGAATAATAATAACAATAACAGTTATTCTCTCCATGCTATTTTTCAATGTTTCAAGTGATGCAGGTGTTTTTTCCCTGTAGGTTTTTTTAATTAAAAAAGCATTCATTTTTCATAATATTTAGTGAAATTAGATTTTAGGCGCCAGATTTTTTTATAGGTTTAAAGGGGCGCGCGACCAAAAAAGTTTGAGAACCACTGGTATATCTAAAGACTTTGATGATTTTAGATAAACTTCAAATGCTTGAAATTTTTACTTTTAACAGTCCTATATATTCATTATTTTTAACTGGAATGGAAAAGCAAATGAAAGATTATTGAAAAAATGATTGAAAATTATATATATATATATATATATATATGTGTGTGTGTGTGTGGAAATTATGTCGTGGACAGTAGTTAGAAAATCATACAGACGCAAAACTGACCATTTGTGTGAAAATATATTCTGAAAAAAGCTAACAGCAAGAACGTCTTCTAATCTAATATTTTCAGAAGTATGTTAAGGACAACATGACCTGGAAATTCTCCAAACACAGGCTAACCCCTTTTTTTTCTTCTTTTTTTTTTGGCACAATAGGAAAGTGCCAGTGGAAGACAAAGATACATTACCAAAATGTAAAACGTTAGTGGCGTTTTTTTTTTAAACAAACATATAAATCTCTTTGCTAAGCCACATAAACATTTTGACCCTCATTTATTAAGTTTTTCTAGGAAACTCTTACCTTTGCTAAAAATAACTGAGCTTTTGAGCTGTTTTAATCAGCGGAGATGGGGTTTTTTTAATCACACATTGATTGCTCCTAATACAAATTTATATAAGCATACTGTCTATTTAAAGACCGTAATATTGCAAAAAATGAGAAATATCAGTCATATCACTCATCACGACCACGTGTCTGTCTGGTTCCCCGCGCGCTACCTGTGACAGTCCAGAACGTGCTTCTGTGTACACGAGAGCGCGCTAGGGGTCCTAATGTTGTCAAACGTCATTTTCTTTGCTGTGTCCCATTGTTGCCTGATTAAAAAATGCTGACAATAACTTTGATCTCTATATAGCTTAAAAATTAATGGTCTATAGTTGTGACATGTTACTTTGTTCACGGCATTTCTTGGAAAATATAATTTACCAAACGAACTGAAATACTTTTATATTTGGCTTTATTTCCTTACGCGTCCTTTAAGACTAAAGTAAACAGGTTTGGCAGGTGTATCGGAAGTGTACACCATCGCTTTTAACTTCTCTTACCTGCACCAGGTGAGACAGCATAAAAGTCAACTTGAAACTTCGAGAAGTCTCCGGTCCTGGCGAATAAAGACCGTTTTTGATAAAAGTAAGTACTAGAGAAGGTTTTTCATGTTTCCCTGTGATGAATCGGTAACTCAACGTGTGATCGAGTCTGTTCATTTCTGTCCTGTGCAGTGCTGGGCTGAAATATTCACACGCACTGTGAGGCGACATTTGTATTACGTTTAGACATTAGACAAGCCCGTGCCAACCTTGGGTTTGTAACTTTTTAAAGTATGAGATCACTGCTAAATAGTTTGTATTTTTTATTTTTTTTAAATACATAAAAGCCTTTCAGATTATTTATTAACAGTCAATGTAAATCGATGATATGGGGCTTGACTGTCCCTTACAGGAACACTGAGAGTAAAATAACAAATCAGTTATTACTTTGTATCCCTTGTAGTCTATATTTTGGCTTAATTTATGAATACAGACGGTAGATTATGACACTTGACACATTTCTTAATTAAAAAAACTTTGTTTTTATGACTATATATATATATATGTATA